CTGATTAGAGACGGATGGTGTATTTCCAGAGTTGGTGAAATGACCAAGCACACCTTCTTGGTCATATGTGGTAATAATAATAATTAAGGTATGTTTGATAAAGTTCTGTATTTGTTTCACATAAGCTGAGAGGGTATTAGAGCATTAGAGAATAACAAATGACATGAAGGTGATAAGTTTTGTATTGTGGGTAAACTGTTACTTAAATAATGTTTTGCTCTTTACTTTGCACTTTTCCTCTTCTGCTTATCTTAATATTTTAGATTATATTTGGACCTGAAACATCTGCTAGACTCCAGGAAAGGTGGCGTCAATACTGGACCTGAAAGGGCCTAACAAGTTGAATCTGGTAAAGAAATATGCACGCGCGCACACACGCATGCACAAGCTTACAGAAAAGTGTTGTTTATGAAGTTTATGAATATTTTTAACACTGTGGCCAATATTTTGGGGAAGTCAGCATCACTAAATGATATAAAAGATTTTAAGCTCTTCTAAATTTTGCTCCAAGTGTTGTGTTAAATTCAGGATTCTGGACAGACAGCTGCCTGTTTTTCCAGTTCTAGTCATAGTGGTTAACCTAATTGTTTTTGGAGATCCAACAGTGATGTATGTGTTTTTTTCTACTTTTCCATATCCTGTCACCTCAACCAGCTGGGAGAGTCAAGTTGTGGATCATCATGTAGATTTTCAAAAGGTGAGTTTAGATTTCTTGAATGTTTTATTTACTTTAAATGTTCTTTTAAATATATCATAGAATTTGATTGCAATTTGTTTTCAAACATTTTTCTTAGTCATGCTGGAGTCTTGAAGAGCTCTTAGATGAGCATCACCCTATATCCGTGCATCAGGAACCACCAGATGAGCGATCAGCAGCTGCTACATCGTCATGGATAAAAAGGTCATCCTGTGGCTGGGAAGCACTTCATTCACAGGACATGCTTGATGAGATTTCCTAGCTCCAGTTTGTTTTCACACAAGTTTACAGCATTTATACCTTCATTTAAACTGCTGTGTTTGATATGGAGGACCAAGGAAACACCCGAAGTGAAAGATTTGCACACCAAGTTGTTTAAAATGTAATTTTACAAGAAAACTATGAGTTCAGAAGAAAACTATGAGTGACGATATATTGAACTTTCAAATTGCTCTGATAACACATCAAGTTTGGACCAAAGGACTGAAACAGCCTTTTTGAGCACTGGTCATACATATTTTGTTGATACTGTCTGTACTAATAAAGCATTTAAAGCATATTTGACATTGTTGCATTTTAAAAACTGAAGGAATTGTTGAAGTGGTGAATGTTTTCAAATAAAATGTTTTTTCTTTTGTAATTTACAGTCTATTTTACCTTTTTACCATATTTACACTCAAGAGAGTTGAATAAAATAACAATATATTGTAGTAAAAAAATTGCTACCAGGCGGTGTTAAATATAGTTACATTTTTAACTCTGCCCAGAGTTAAAATTAACCCTTACTTCGGTGTCAATGTGCCAACCCTTTTGAAAGTGTTGATTTAACTCTGTTTTGAGTGGACCCCATGAGACACTTTCAAAGTGTTGAAATTAACACCCATAGAGTTGTTTTGGGTCCCCATATTTTGCTGTGTAGAAAGCCTAGTAAGAGCTTGATAAGCAAGCCTAGGTGTGTCTGATTGGGGTTGCAGCTAAACTTTGCAAGACATCGGCCCTCCAGGACCAAGTTTGGACATGCCTTGTTTACAGTAACCGTACAATTCTGAATGACAACCTATTTTCAAAGTCAACAGTGGTTGTGCTTGACTTTTTGGATGCTTGAATTTATTCCAGAGTTGTATGCTCTTGTATTTTGTCTGTATGATAGCCTTCACTGCCCCTGCGCTGATCTCTCTCACTCTTTTTTTATGAACCATTACCAACTTTTGATTAAATCACTTTGTCCTCTTTGGGTAATTATGTTTTAATGGGAATTTAAATTGAGTTAAAATTGTTCATCTCCTTGAATGTTTCCCATCATTCAGCCTAAATTAATAAATTTTTCTTCAATGTTTTCACATTCTTTTTTTCAGACTCCTCCAATTTGTGTGATTATCCTTGCATTTGCTTTCAAAACAATGTAGCATTAAATGGCTGCTTTTATAAATACACCAATCAGCGTAAATGCAGGCTGATTAATCATTATGCATTAAATTATTTGTTTCAATATGAGATACATATTGATTCAGTCTTATACAGAAACATGAATATAACAAACAATCATTCAATTAAGTGCTGAATGATTAAATGTTTGTTTTGTTTCAGAATTTGGCTAAGTAACTGAGAAGGTAATGGACTGAAAATGGCCCATTAATCATTAGTCATTAACCACCAACGATGCTTTTGGTTTTCTGATGTGCTCTTAGGGATTTTGTTCTATTGTGATTTTATTTTATTTGAGCTTTTTTTTAACCTGCAAATGACAATTTCTCATGAATAAAAAAAAAAAAAAAAAAAAAAAAAAAAATATATATATATATATATATATATATATATATATATATATATATATATATATATATATATATATATATATATATATGTATATATTTTATAACTTTATTTATTTAAATACTACTACTACTACTAATAATAATAATAATAATAATAAGCATTATTATTATTATTATTATTATTATTTATATATTTAATGAAATAAAATATATAAAATAAATAATTTACATAAACAACCAATCAAACAAACAAATAAATAAAAATATAAAGTAAAATAAAATTAATTGAATAAAAAACAAATGCTGAATACGTCATTATAAACAAACAAGCATCATTATTAATTGTTAAAAATTAATCAAATAAATAATTATTTCCTCTTGATCCCAGCTTGTGTAATTTACACATTTGTCCAATGAACTTCAAAAGGGGTCAAGCATGAAACATTGCTGTTATTTTATGTTTGCTGAAAGCTAAACATATAATTGCTTGTTCTTGGAAAAAAAATTGACAAATATGTTATAGCTGTTTTATTTAATAATATTATAATTTATATTATTATAAGTTTCTTTATTTCAAAGTTTATTATAAGTTATTTTGGGATTATATATTACTCTTTGGCGTCTTTAGGGTTACACGTCAAACTTAATGAAACATTTGAGGGCTCATGGAATCAACTTGAAGGCAGAGGAATGCACTACTTTTGACAGCTTGTGACATAATCTGGCACTTGACATCAATGATCATTTTAATATGATTAGGACCGGGGTGCTCAAAGTTTTTCACATGAAGGACCAAAAACTAAATATCATTGAGAGCCATGGGCCAAAAATAAATAAACCAAACAATTTTACATTAAAGCTGCCATAGATAATTCCCTGATGTATTTCCTAATATTTATCATATCACCTAATGTAGAATAACTTTTTAAAATGATAACTATTGCAATAAAAACTAAATATTCACACTTATAAGACAGTGGAGTTCAATGCTGAATACACTAGTGAAGCAGAATCTGCTTTTGCCTTGATTTGCTCACCAAAGTCCTCTATCCATTGAGTGACAGTATGATAAATCTGATTAATTTAAACCATATAAATTGAACATTTAATTTCAGTTAGCTTTTTTGTAGCTTAACAATAACACAAACAAAAATAAAAAGTTACTTAAAATTAGAAATGACTGTCTCTAAACCATCTCCATCATTTTTCATCTCTTCTCAGATGGCATGGCCCGCTAGCCCTAGTTTGGTCATCTCTGATTAAGATAATACTTTAAGAATCTACCATGTAAACAGCATGAAATGCAGAGTTCTTTTTTTCCCCCTTTCTTTCCATTTGGCATGCGGTATCAAATTCCATTAAAACAACCAGTCCTTACATCATATCCTCATTCAATACCTCAGTTTGTCATGGGGGCATGAATGAAATGTTCCTGAATGAAAGTAAAAGTAAAAAAAAACAAAAAATTAAAAATGAAACTGGAGGAAACAGTGGACAGCGTAGTTACGTAATGACGTTAATCGAATGATGTGCTATAACATGTAGAACGGGATCATGAAAGGAACATTTAAAAAGCAACTAATATAAACTAAACTTTGAAGTTTATCTATATTGTTTAAATAAAATTTAAAAAAAAGGTCAAATAATTTTTTGGCTCAAAAGTATCGGTTTAGGCACCGTTTTACGATGGTACTGTTTTAAAAGTAGTTTTAGCACCAGTATCAAAATAACCCCAAACGATACCCAACACTATTATTCTTGCTGTTGTTTTTTGCTCAACTGAAAATGTAAACCTTTGTCAAAGTGAATGGCTGTTTAAATAAAATTTCTTGTTAATGATAATAATAATAATAATTAAAAAAAAAAACAATTGTATTAAGATTGATTGTAAATATAAAAAAAGATTTTACATATTAAAGTAACAGAAGGTCAAATAAAAATATGCTATTTGCTCAAAAATAAACAATCATATCAAATAAATGAAAAAAGCCCCGCATTTTCACATTGGTAGAATCGTAAATAACCAATAACCATTGAAAAACATACAGAACCCCTCAGCAACCGCATAACAATGTGCAAGTGACCCACTCTGTCCACAACTCAACATCCCAGCAGTGAGTTTTGCACACGCAAGCACCACTCACATTTCCTCAGCTAATAACACTAATAAAAAAACTAGTCATCTCTGTAAACCTGCTGAGCTTTGAATCTTCATTCGGTGGACGTCAGGTAAATGTTCTCCAGCATTTATCATCATTACGGTGGGAGTGTTTGTGAGAAAGCGACTGACTGATGTTCTAGTGAGTAATGAAGTGTGAAAGAAGAAGGCAAATGTCAGTGTTTTCCTGCATGCACTGTGTGAAAATGGGCATCAATGGTCATTAGATGTGGGCAGTTCTCCTCCCGCTCATTAACCGCAGTAACACCTCTGAAAGCAGTGTGTGTTTATTTTAAACAAGTCTGTTTTAATTAGCTCTGATCTCTCTCTTGCACTTGCTGGATCTTTCCGTCTCCAGTATTTTGCTCACCTATACTTTCCTGTGATGTGGAGTCTGGAGTGTCAGTCGACCCATGTGGCTTAGTGCAGTGACCCAAAGCAGAATCAATGTCACGATGCTTTTTGAAGAAATGTCTTTTTTAGATGCCCATGGACCACGTAATCCCGCCTCATGGCAAGGACAGGAACAAATGTGAGTCTTGTCTGCAGTTATTTGACAGCACTGTGGAAAGGAAAACAGAGAAGAGTCACAACAGATCAGCTGTATGTTATGTTTGTATGCATGCTGTTTCAAACACGAAAGACCTACTTTTCTTCTGGTAGCTTTTGTCATGCTACTCTTTTCATTCAACAACCAGACACTATCAAGCCTTAAAAATGACAATCAACCAATCAATACAATAAAAAGAGTACTAACACATTACCATATGTAAGGGATAAAGTACATCCAGGAGGTTGATTTTGCTAAATAAAGCCTGACGGTCTATTCTGTGATAACAACTGCCTGCATGTACTTTATCTCCCTTACTGCATGGTTACTTATCATAAAATGGAAAAAGTAACTCTAAACATTGATTTGAGCTGTAATAATATATTAACTCTTTAAACGCAAAGCTGACAGAAATGAATGGAGCATACACTAACCAATGTATTACTCACAAGTTGGTGCCAAACAAGCAAAAACATTGGTGTGACCGACAAGCATCTAAATATAAGGGAAGTTTGAACAATTTTCGAAAGAATCACATGCTATGATTGATCGTGGCTGGGATCTCATCAACAATCATCGATGAACCAATCAGATTAATCCAAGCCTACAATTAAAAGCCTGTTTTGTCTTACTTCCCTTATCTTCGTATATGAAGAATTTCCACGTCCACCCCTTTCCCCCCTTTCCCTCCTTTACCAGGGGGAGCTCTCAAGACCTACTGTATGTGATCTCGGGCCCCCCTTTTATGTTAAATTAACAGGTGGGATCTCTGAGTTCTCTACCGGGACAGCATGCCAAACCTGCAATTGGTATCAAGCAATAGCAAAGTGTGAACTCTTAAAATGTGGATGTATATTGATGTGAGCATATTAGTTGACACATTGTTATGCGGTTGGAGTACCCAGATGAGCTTGTATCTGAGAATAACATTTCTTGTGTTCTTATGTTGGGAGTGACCAATCAGAATCAAGTATTCCAAAGAGCTGTGAGTAAAGTAAAAGATAATGCATATCAAGGCGGTTGTTTTCATAGAAGTCTCTATCCGTACGTTCACACCGAAAGCGGCGAGAGCGTCCAAGGTCGCTCTGGCCGCCCTGGCGACAACGCTGACTGCCTTCAGCTCCGGCGGCGAGAGCGTCAAAACTCGCTACATTGATCTCATATTTAAAGGAGCCGTTGCAGCATATCAGTTACATTCCTGCATAAGGCATGTTTTTAGCGTGAAAATGTTGCGCACTTTTTATCAAATTCATATAACAATCGAAGATCAAGTTGCGTGTGGTGTGGCTTTGCTCTATTTATCCAATATGTGTCCATATGTCTGAAATATCCTGAAGCAGCAGTACTGTTTTGTACTGTCACATCGCGTGAGATTCCCGCTTTTTAAAGATAAATTTATATAACATTAATGAACATCAGTAACTCGCCAGTAACTTATTTAATGTATGTTCCTGTAGGAAAACATTGTAAATAATTGGAAATCCGGCGACCGCAATAATCAAACCCTTGGGAACAACTGTGGTCGGAACCAAAGTTCACAGGTCTGTGTTCCCTGAACTGCTATCAAGCGGTGGACGTCTTCATTCTGATTGCTTGCCGCCGAAACGCGTCATAGCTCATTACCATAAAGTTGACTTCATTTCAACTCTCCTCGACGCTCACGCCGGCGAAGACGCGCCGCACTGCTCCTCGCCGCTTATCGTCGCCTATCGCCGCCGGCTCTCATTGAAAATGAATGACTTCCGGCTACTTTGACGCTCTCGCCGCTTTCGGTGTGAACGTACGGTATAAGGCATCGTACTCTATGGTCTTTGATAAGACTTTATTGATTTTATTCTGCAAAAACTACAAACTAGTTCTACCAACCAGACACAAAACACAAGCTGTAATAATGTATTAACACTATAAACATAAACCTGACACAAAAAAAAAAAAAAAAAAACAGCTGAATACAGCCTTCACTAAACTAACAGTCAAGTTGATTCGAAGTCGACTATATTTAGGGAATAACCTCGGATTGTTGTGATAGATTTAGAATCAAGAATTGATCAATAGATCAATTATAATCAAGTATTCCAGAGTGCCGTGTAATGATAAGGCATTAATGAGCAACAATGAACAGTTTTGTTTTAGGAATATTTTAATAACGTGAATAAGAAGTTCTGCCAATATTAACTTAAAATAGAAAGTGTTATTTAATGTTAGGAACAGAATTACATAAGTAATATAGCTTTATTATCATGGATATAAAGGGATTTGAAACAGCCTTTTCTTTAACATTTTTCATGTATTTAAAACAAATTTGTATACAGTTTCTTCCTAAAGAAGAAAATATCAAAAGGGAAAAGTCTCTGCTCTATCAGCTTGTTAAGTGTGACGTCACGTGAAGCATCTTTCGGGTCCAAGCGCTCTATCAAACTGTATGGGGAGACTCATCAAATTGTAATAATAAGCATTTACAAAGCGCTATAATACTTTTGGTAAAATTTTTGTCCAGAGACTGTGATTTACACTGTGATTTCATATAAAAATCACTTCAATGTGTGATAGGACAACAAGTGTCTATAAATAAATATTTTCTCAGTTCAATATAGCGGCTTGTACCTGGAAACAGTATTCCATACGTTACCAATACGTCACGACTTAAAAAGTGCATAAGCAGATGAACATCAAAACTTAACAACTAGTTAAGTAGCAAGTTGCTCAGCTAAAAAAGTATTAAAGAGGTAATAATTATGACCTTACCTTCATTCCCATATTCAACATCACTTTGAATGTCTGCTGTGAACAGTAAAATTTGTTGTAGAATACAACACTGGTACTGTTTGGTGGTCTGTACATGTGTTCTGCTCCATTTCATAATAAAAGTCTTTGCTGCTGACTTATTCATGAAAACAATCACCTGTCGCCATCTAACGGCATAATAAAGTCACCACACATTCCAGTTCTCAAAAATAATTTTTATAACTTATTGATTTATATAAATCCATTTTAAATTAGTTGTTTAAGCAAACAGGAAAATTAAGTGAATAATGAAACAATATATTTATATTTTTATATATTATAAGTAATAAACATACCTCTACCATCAGCCAAACTATTTTGTTTTTTGTTTTTTTTGACTTTCACACACATGCATACAATGTAGCCTACCCATCCATCCATCCATCCATCCATCCATCCATCCATCCATCTATCCAAAATTTCGAAAACCACAGGGTTAATTTTCTATTTGCATGGCTATCTAAAACTGAAATGTTCTTGTGAGGCGAATTAATATTGTTAGTTATTTTTGCTTATTGTAATATTTCTTTTCAATCTGTTATAATATAATTTCCAAATCATCTTTTTTCCTCCCCTGGTAGGGCCTAGACCATTGATTGAGAACCACAGAGCTAAACAATATCAACTGGTCGCAGGCTACAGGCTGTGCTGCTGGGCTGTATAATTCTGCGGTGTTTGTGTTCATCACACCTGTCTGTCCAAAAGAGCTATTCATCTCTTTTTCTCCCCCTCTATTCATTCATTCTGTGTTCATCTCATTCGCTCTCTCCCATCCATCTCATTACAAGAAACACAATTACCAGACTCTCGAGCCTTCCAATGTTCTCCCAAAAAGAGCTAAGGCGATTTAGACTGCCTATATTCCTCCCTTGATGAAGGCTGTAAGCTTCCATCTGCAACTGATGAGCAGAATCAGCCAATCAGAATCCCGCAAATCATGATTGGCAGGGGTGGGCGGGCACTACTGGACTTGGGCTTTATATAACGACGTTTGCGTTTTTCAGAGATTTTTCCAAAAGATAAAAAGTAAACGAGATAAATTATACCGGAGAAACTGTAAATAAATCGCACCACTGAAAAGTTAACGATTTTGTCCATCTGGATACACAGTAAGTAGGTCAGTCGGAGGTGGGTTTGATCACACCTCATTAACATGCTGCGCGGTGTTGTTGTTTTTATTATTATTTTTTTTAGTTAAACTTGCTAAATTCACCAGGAACATGGCCTCGTGAGGGAAAAACAGAAATCACACCAGATGGTTTGATATATTTATGCTTGCTAGACTGGTGATGAACAAGCTCTCAAAACATTTTAAATATTATATATAATGCCTTGAATAATAAAATCGTATCAAAACATATGGCGTGTTGTTATCTCCAACACGATACCTGGGATTTGAATATGTTATACACCAAATTCTGTAGTAAAAGCTGGTTAATGACCATTCAAATTGCTTGCCTGACAGTTTACTGGCTTCACCAGAGTCCTCCAGCAGGTGGCAGTGTGGTTTCTTTGGTTTCAGCTGAAGGTTAGTCCAGGACAGTGTTGTTACAGTGCTGTTGCCTCACCGTGTGTGTATTTTCTGTCTGACTAGGCCTATATGAGTGTATGGATTTAGGAATCAAAATAGGGAACAGGCAGGACCTTTCTGACATCCTTTGACATTAATAAGCACAAATCGGTAACAAATTTTGTAACAGACAATTAATATAGCTGTAATGTGATAAAAATGCTGTCACAAATCGCTCGTTTAGTATAATTTGCATTCCACTGAAAATCAAGTTTTGCCTGGAAAAACAACAAAAATAAAATAAAATAATAATAAAATAATATATATATATAAATAAATATATATATATAGTCAAAACAGTATCTGTGTTTTTATTATGTGAGATCCTAGACCAAAAAACAATCATAAGGATTAAAAATAAATAAATAAATAAGCTTTCCATTGATGTATAGTATGATTTGTGATAATAGGACAGTAGTTGGCCAAATTACAACTATTTGAAATCTGAAACATGAGGGTTTGAATTAATTGAAATATTGAGAAAATCATGTTTACTGCTGTCCAAATAAAATTCTTAGCAATTTCTATTACAAATAAAAAAAAGTTTGATAATTTGATATTTTTACTCAAAGAAATTTTCAAAATGTCTTAAAGGAACATGATCTTTTTTAACTATTCAAATCTTTTTTGTCATAAAGGTCAAATGTATTATTTCAAA